TAAGGGGGAGTGAATATGTGGCTCAGACCAATACAGAATATAAAAATTAGACAGGCAATAAAAGAATTTTGAAGATAGCAACAGGGTTGAGCTGGCTTCAACCCACACGTTGCTTCCTGGCAATTAGGGATGCTCAGAATCATGACAGTGAGCCAATTATAGAGACCAGTGATGGGAATCACACTGGTACTGTGATTGAACTCCATATGAAAATTGCTATATTTTGCAAAGTGCAACTTATATTTGTATTGTGATTTTGGTATATTGTATATCACTCTGCTGAATCAGAAATTCTGCTAACTACTCTCTTCAAATCAGTGAATCTGATGTTACACATTACATCCTCCACACACAGTGTATCTGAAATAATCTGGTCAGAGAGTACTGGACTCTGACACACAGTGTGATAATGAAACTCAACTCTGACAAAGCCCCATGGTGTACATGGTTTCAACATCAACTAAGTCAAGACTATACATATGAAAGCATTATTTATTATTCTGGAGCACAAGTTGACTGAAAATTAGGTGCTCTCTGAAATCCTACATCTAAGCAGCTGCACATGGAAAAGCTCAGATATTAAACCCCTTTCCCCTAAGTCTGTGGCAGAGTCAGAAAACACCAAAGCAAAACCCTCTAACCAGCCTCTATGATTATGCTCTTTAAGTGTTCAGCACTGCAAACTAGAGTCTAGATGTTAAATAAGAGACAGTACTTGGGACAGACTACATACTTAACCCAAATGGTTACCCAGTTTACCCAACCACAAGAGAATTCTCTGGTAAAGTTTCAGTATAGCTGGGTGGCACAGAACATTAAACTATAATTGGAGAAACTAAACAAGTTGAGGAAGACCTATAAGAACTCAGACAGGAAAAACTGGTACCTGTCCACAAAGTGATTCTTTACTTTCTTCCTTCCCTTCTGAGTACCTTCAGTTCCCTTAGTTTTCCAGTTCTCAACCGTGGCACAGTACATCTGTTCTCAAGTAAAGCTGTTACAGTAGGATGTGACATTTGGCATATGCCTAACTACTGCTGCTTTGCAGGACAAAGTCTAAATATAATCCAGCCTGCGAAAACACTGGTTCAACGCCAAGGCCAGCATTCAAAAAAAAACCCTGTATGACCTTAAGAGCTGTCAAAGTCCACATCAAAATCAAAAAAAAAATTACTCCGAATAAGTTGTGTCTTAGAAGCCATTGTCTGAAGCTTTTTAACTATATTGAACAGTAATGTCTATGGACTGTTAATGATTCATTACATTGTTCTTGAACTGCTAAGTGATTTCAAAGGAATAACGTGGCAATGGCTGGATTTTGTTGGATTGGCCTCACTACAGTAAACACTGCAGTAAAAGTGAATTAGTGGATAAACTTAAAATTGCTTTTTGGCAGAGAATGGGTAACCAAATATGCCTACAGGATATAATTAGCCCACTAACTCAGATGGCCTGTGCAGTACACAGTTTGTCAATAGTGTACCTCACAGCATGTCTCTGCCTGCATCACAACATTTGGGATGTCACTGTGGAAACAAAGAGCCCTGGCTCCCAGCTCAGTGATATTGCAGCATCACAGTACAATCTGGGTTGGAAGGGACCTCAGGGTATTTCCAGTCCAACCTCCTGCTCAAACCACGGGTCCTCTAAGATCAGATCCAGTTGCTTAGGGTTGTAGCCAAAAGGAACATGAAGTGTCCAGGGACAGACAGCACAGCTTCTCTGGGCGGCAAAAAATTACACACTTTTCAGCCAACCAAAATTATGTGCCAAACAGCCATTCCTTCCAGATCTCAAGGAAAAGACGCAAGGAAGGATGTCTTTGAAACCAGTCGCAAAACTGACCCAAAATTTCAGCCCATGCACTGGAGGGCTGACCTGATGTGGTAGAGGTTCGCAGCACAATTTCCTAAGAACTATTAACTTATGTTGAAGAGAGGAATTAAATATATCAGATGGAAGAAATTCTTCAACAATCCAATGTACTCTTTTAAAAAAAAAAGCCAGCTGGGAAAAAAGTCCATGAACCACAAGCAAAACACAAAAACATAAGGACAAGCCAATTTAATCTTACCTCAGCTTCACACAGTGCTTGGAGACCCTGTAACACTATGGCAGCAGGTGAAGCTTGATCAGGTTTTGTGCACTCATTTAATACTTGGGAAATTGCAGCCAACATGTCAGCTCCATGCTGGTATGGTCTAAAGGAAAATACATGAAGATAGATTCATGCATACACACAAGATAGAATCTATACACAAAAATTCATAAATCTATACACAAAAATTCAAAAATTCATCATATACATAAAAATTCATATCTATATACAAGATGTAATCTACAAACAAAAATTCATACACACAAGATATAATATACACACAAAAATTCATAAAACTGGTTTTGTTTAAATTACAACTAAACCAGCTTAAAACTGGGAGAAAAAGAAAGATAGAAGGAATATATGGCACAGAGCTCTAAAGGTTGAGTGACACAGAATTAAATCAGCATAATTTCAAATAAAAGATCACCAAGTGGTTAAGTTATGGAAGTTTTTGTTCAGGCATGTTGTACACTAAAAGATTACATCACTCAAGAAGTGATTGTGAATGAAAATCCACATGTGCCATTAAAGACACTATTTTATGATGCTTTGTTGCAGTCTTCTGCAAGTAGTCACTACTGTGTATTGGTGGAGATTCTGGCACCAAAAGCATTTTGGCTCTCTTATATCAGAAGCTACATTTTTCCATTTCTTTTTTTTGCAGCTGCAATGCCATTTGTCTCTCCTTTGATGACTGCACAGCCTGCTTGTAGCTTTCCAATCATTACTATCTATTCAGTTTTATTGAAATGTGGCGGGGGAAAAGTGACAACTGCTGATTGAACAGTTCCCCATTCTGACTTACTCTGTTTGCTATCACTTTCTTCCAAGTAACTTCTCAATGCACAAAGAATGTGCATACACCTGAACTCTAACTATACCACTTACATGACAAAAAGAGTATTACAGATGCTTTGAGATTTCCCCCTTGCTTTTCATTTTCTAAATATTTCTTGAAAAAATGCTGTTTGACAAAACTCAAGAAGGCTGAAGCGGCAAAGGAAAGGGCATTTTCATTAACAACTTGGGGTTTTAGTTGATGAGTGAAAGACATATGAATCTTCCCAGCTGTTAGTAACTGATTTTCTAGAAGAAAAGTGAAAAGTGGAACCCGAGATAGGTGACAATTGAGATGGTATTCTGCACATAAACCCAGGAAGCAAATAATAATGCACTTGAAGACAATCCCTACAAGAACGGTAAATTATTACTAAGTAGTGATCACGGATTGTTAGAGCTGGAAAGGGACAATATATCATCCAGTTAGACTTGTACAACTGTGTTCTGTGTGGTATTACACCTGAATAAAGACCAGAAATTTGCATATGACAAAATATGCTTTTGAAAAAAAGCATCCGATCTTTCTTTGACTAGATGAAAAGATAGATCGTTAGGTGTTTCTTCTGATGCTTCATCACTATCTTTTTCTAATTTGGAAGTGTTATACCTAAGCTTCCACCCAGGATGAGTATAGGACACATGCTTTGTTTCAGGATGAAGACAACTTAATTTAACATTAAAGTCTCTCAGTTTTAAAAGAAAACCCCGAATTTACTAGCTGCTGAGATGAGGAATGGCTGAGTCAGTGTCTTAAACAGCTATAAATATATTGCTCACAATTAATGTAACACAGTAGGTAAAAATAATTATGCAGCTTTTCTGAAAAAAATTGTTTTCCCTTACAAAGACATAAGATGGATAACACTTGTGCTTACCTCTGCCTACATATATCTCGTATACAAGCAGCTTTAGCGATCAACTTTTCCCACTGAGCATCTTTGTCAACAGACACCAAGGGCATATCAGACATCATCAAGAACTTCTGCAATTCTGGGTAAATTCGATCCTAGAAAAGATTCCATTTAAAAATGATCATCACATCCTCAAAAGCCGGTGACAGGATTTTCAGTTGCTAGCACTTCTACATGACTTTTAAATACCATTTGTATTGCATACCACATTTTGCTTTTCTTCATTACTGGAACCTATTGGGATCTAACTGGCTTTTGCAGGCTGAATCTCTACTCCTACTTTAAAAATACCAAGAAGCAAATTACTGCCATGTAACTTGTGCTGCCTTAGGGTAGGGTAGAGTCAACTTTCTTCACAATGGCTAGTATGTGGCTGTGTTTTGGATTTGTGCTGAATGCAGTGCTGATAATACAGAGATGCTTTGTTGTTGCTGAGTAGTGCTTACAGACTGGTGAGGAATTGGGGGTGTATGGGAAGCTGGGAGAAGAAACAGCTGGGACAGGTGACCCAAACTGACCAAAGGATATTCCATACCATATGGCATAACACTCAGTATATAAAGTTGAAGGAAGAAGGAGGAAGGGGAGGACGTTTGGAGTGATGGTGTTTCTCTTCCCAATTAACCATTACACATAGAATCACGGAATGATAGAATCCATCAGGTTGGAAGAGACCTCAAGAATTATCGAATCCAACCCCACCATCATTACTAGACCATGGCACTAAGTGCCACATCCAGTCTCGTCTTGAAAACCTCCAGGGATGGTGAATCCACCACCTCTCCTCCCCTGGCAGCCCATTCCAATGCCTGATCACTCTCTCTGTAAAAAATCTCTTCCTAATATCCAACCTAAACCTCCCCCGGCAGAGCTTGAGTCTGTGCCCTCTTATGATGGGCCTTTATGATGCCCTGTCATGATGAGGGCCTGCTCTCCTGGAGGTGCTGAACACCTCTTGGCCATGGGAAGAAGCAAATTAATTAGTTGTTTTGCTTTGCTTGTGTGCAAGGCTTTTTAAACAGTCTTTATCTCAACCTACAAGTTTTCTAGCTTTTAACCTTTGGATTTTCTCCCCCATCCTGCTGGTGGGGTGCGGTGAGTGAGTGGCTGTGGGGGCTCGGCTTCTGGCTGGGGTTAAACAACACCACTAAGGCCTTGCGCTTAGGCAAGCAGAAAGTTGTCCTCCAAACCAATTTTCTACTTCAAGTCTGAGACCTCATGAAATGAAAAGAAGGTTTCATGAAAGACATACTATTGAAATCTGTCACTAGAACAAAATCCATATAGTCACCACTTACACCACTGACTTTCTAGGGCTGATAATAACATGCTAGTATAAGCAAGACTTAAAAATTGATTTCCTTCTTTGGTTAGAGGTAATAAGTTTTTCAAGTGGACTTATCTTAGTGACACCACAAGGATTTTCTAACCTGTCTTTCCCATAACAACGTCATCAGCCGCAAGGCAATGGCTCTGAGCTTTGGGGTGCTCCCCAACATGTGTATGACACGTAGAATCTGAGCCACACAGACCTGAAAGAAAGTTTTCAAACAAGTGTCACTGTTATATGACTCAGAGCAAAGACTAATGTACAAATCATTATTTTACAACCAAGTACAACACGGAGAGCATCTTGTGATGTATATCATGATGATACTGTGGAGACAGTAAAGGATAACATACATTTCACTCTAGAACAAATGTCATACCCAAAATATTACAAAGTTATGCTGAAGCTTAAAAATCAGTTATTTTAAGCAAGCTGTGTATTGCTTAGTCTAAACATTTTTTATAAATAAATGACTTCTTATTGGCACAGCTTTTGTTTTACTAAAACTTTTTCACTCTGACCTTGTGCACACCCAGTGCAGGCAGTGTGTACAATATATCCTTGTAAAGGACTGGCTCCAAAGGTCTTCCCAATTTAAATATCAGAACTGGGATCAGATTTGGAACCTAAAATAATACACAGACAGGAAATAAATTAGAATTTGCCAACATAATACCTTACATAACAGCGAACTTGTCAGAACATATTAGAAACTCATAATTTTTTAACATTTTTTTCTGCCTGTATATATGACAAACCTGTCATATAACATTATATAATTGACTGCATTCCTTAATATATGGTACAAAACATCCAGAAAGATGCCCCTGAAGCAACAATAAAGGACTTATTGACCTCCATTCCTTTAGAGATCAGATTTTCAGTATTTTCACACCTGCAGATCCTACAGTTTTTTTCTTGTGCACCTTCTTACCACTACACTGTAAAATGAAATCTATTCATGATGGCCTTGGTTTTTCCCCAACTTGATTTTATGAATGCTTAAAAGTAGTTATATACAGACACACACACATATATAGACAGTTCATATGTCTTCAGATGTCCTCAGAAGATAATGTTTTTTGCTGTAAAAACAATCTGTCTCAGTCGACAGAAGGAGCAGTAATGAATAAATATTCAAGTGCTCTGGGATTTTGCACACTTGGCTCTGTTCTGGTTCCAAATTATAGATCAAAAAAAACAACTCTTCGTTCTACAAGACATCACTATATTTAGAGTTGAGCAATCTCAATTTGTGCTTCCACAAATGTTCTGGAATTTGCATTTACTAGCTAATACCTTATTTTTTTCCCATTTTCCAAATACTACTTGGGATTCTTGAGTAGAATAAAACCCTTTATAAACCAAAATTTCCCCACTTTTTTGACTAACTGACTAGTTTCCGTGTCATCTTAAGCTAGTTCTCTCATCAGTAGGCTAGTTCCAGCATAGGCTACTCTCAGTTGTAGCTACACTGGACTACACATATGGCAGTTAGGACAAATGGCACTCAAAATATACTATATTCGTAATCCTTAGTTATAAAAGCATGCAGACTCTTTAAAGTCAGCCTGCTCAAGCACAAGCCTCATCAGTTGTGATGGGAAGCTCATTTCAAGTCCTGTGTAGGTTGCATTTCTGGGCTGGATTTTGGAAGAGAGGTAGCATCAGCCTAGTCATTCAGTAGGCAAGATACTGAAATGAGAAGGTTTTTGAAAGCTTTCTGCACTCTGGCCTTTCTTGCTCCAGTGAGCAAGACAAAAGTACTAAATAATTCAGACAAACGAAGGAACCGTTTTGTCAGGTAAGTGAGCAAATATGGATAAGTTTCTGTTTAAAAAATCTAATAAAATAGATTCATCTCAAAAATCAGAAGCACTTTTTAGAAAACATAACCTAGGTTTTAAAAAGTTTCATGATTTCTATCAGGATCCTAACTGGTAAATTTCAAAGATGAAGAATCTGTCCACAAGATCTGACTGTGATAAGATCGTTTTCCTACCTGCAGCTACTCTCCGAAGTTTACATAACGAAACACAGAAAAACAGCATCAGGCACCACACGAGTGAGGCAAACCTAGTTCAACACATCCTAATATTCGAATCAAAATGACTTCTACTTTTTTGGGTTTTAATGCACCCTGAGAACAACAGAAAATAATGCATCTTCAGATGGATTTCCCAGAAGGGTGTTATTTACTACTAAAATAGTTCATTCTAGCAGTTTAAAGACCATAAAATAACACATGTCCTCTAGAGGCTCATAATCCTCAAATAATGGTAATAGATCTTGTGCTACTATTCACCAGTGACCTCTCAGCCAGACGATTTAATGCCTTCCCCTTGCAGCACAGCAAGGGTTTTGCAGAGTAGTAACAGTCTCTGCACAAGAAAATTCATCCAATTAGGAAGACTATTAAGCTTTTCATGATCAGCATGTGCCACTCTGCAGTGTTTTGACTTAGGACAGCCAAACAGCCCATGGGCTTTTAAAAACATTTCTGAATATTCTTCAGTAGTATTTCAGACAGTTACTACAAAATGCCTCTGCTAAAAACAGATCTAACATGATCACTAATTCTGCACCATAGAAAGGCTTTTACTCAGTGGGCAAGGAGGAGGTACATACAGAGAAGTCCTCTGTAGGCTCTCTTCATAGAAAGGGTAAGAAAAACCCACAGTCATTTAAAGACTAAAAGCTCTCTTTTTGCAGTCCCTGTTAGTGAACAACGTGAGCCAGTGAGATAATATCAACAAATCAGGGTTTGAGCTCTCTATTTTAAAAACTGGTTCCTAATTCACATGGTCTTTTGTTGAGCATTAGGGAAACAAAAAGTATGATAAAGTCTGAACTTCATCTTCTCACTGCGTTTGGGCACAAGCCAATTTTCCCAAAGCCATCATGAACCTTAAGGGCTTATTAATTCTGAAGTAGTCAGACCACCACAGTTAGCTCAACAGGATGTGTCCATCAATCTTATTTACTGTATTGGTGAACAAAAGCTTTGGCTCAAAATAAGAACAAAGTAGAAAAACCCATTCACATAATGCTTGAAACATGAACAGCTTCAGGTTGAATTCCTCCCGCTGTACCTGTCTAAACCTTCTGTAATTCTGTTGACTCGCACTTTGTCTCTAAAACTGATCATTTGAAGTTCCAATGAAATTCACAAGAGTCATTCCCTACAGGTAGACTTCAGGCCATCCTGCTAAGTCCCATATTACTTCAGTAATTTTTTTTAGCAAGTTATTGCTTTTTTGAATTCCATTTTGAACAATCATATCTAATAGCTAACAAACAAAGCATTATTCCTTTTCTCCTCCTGTAATATGCCACTGATTCATCATCATACAACTCAAAGACCTAACACAACAAAAGAAGTTAGAGACAGTCTACAGACAAAACTAGGAAACCCACTTTAAAAGGCCTAGATTTAACTCAGTGGGTTTTACACAGCTAGCTAGTCACAAGAAGAAAACTCACTCACTTGCAGCGGATTGGATCAGAACTAAAGTTTACCACAATACAGCAGGTGTAACTTATCTACTCCCTTCCTAGAGAATAATTAATTAATTTACAAAGACCAGGAGGTGAATTCCTGCACTTACACAAATATTTTCAAGAAGAAACTAAGTTAAAGAAGAGATACCCAGGTGGTTCTACATCAGCTCCGCTTTTACACACAAGCGCAATTGGTTTTGCTTATTTCTGTCCTTTGAACACAAGAAGGTGCTTCCTACTTAAAGTGAGAAAATGAAGTTTTGACCACTACTATGCACAAAAAGATAAAACGAAAAAGTAAAAGAGTAGGTTAACAAAGTATAAGATACTTAAGCTTTGTGCTTTCTCTCAAAAACCCGTCTCTTGCAGTTACAAGAGAAAATACATCTGGAAGATTAATTTCTGATTCCTGGCTTAGGATCACATTGTCATGGTCAGATCACAGTTTTCATCACCTGCAAGTTTTGCAGTCTTCCCATGGTCACTGATTTGCCCCACACCTTCCTCTCAACCAGAGGTGTAAATGGCATGTAAGAAATTAGAAGTGTCATGTTCCAGCAATACCATCCTCCTCCTAATATTCCTGCTTTCTAAGGGATTTTTTTCCCCTGGACTTCTCAATCTATTACTGACTGCCTGCACAGAAGTCAGAACTACTTTTTTCACATACCATCCAAAAAACTAAACCTTTACCTTTAATACGACAAAACAGAAAAATATGGAGACATACTGAGTTAAAAGCAAGAAACGTGCAACAGATGAAGCTGTCACCTGGTTTAAAGATTTCTCCATCTTAAGCACTATAAAGACACTGTAGAACGGACCTGGTTTAGCAGAGTATTTCAGTAGGTGTTCAACAGCAAGCACATCTTGGACTGCTTCCCTGGATCAGAATTCGTAACTCCCATAAGATGTACCTTTTTATTACTCTTATGCTATGGAGTTTAAAAAAAAAACAACCCTGAAGTAAACAAAGCTTGTCTTCATGGCATAAATGAAATTTGATTTGACACTTCTCTCTTTCCTACTTTACAAATAAGGTATGATTCTTTCTGTACAATGCCTCCCGTGTTACTGTTTCTAGACAATTCCCCTGATCTTTCCAGGTTATGTAGGCAAGTGTGAGCATCCTATGTAATTCTGGGTTGAATTAAGTACTGGAGCAGACAGACAAAGACTATATTCATAATTTTAAGAAGCAAGAACAAAGATGTCACAAGGGACTTAGCAGTCTCTCAGAAACCACAAAAGAACACAGAGAATAATTCCTGTGGCCACCAAAAGTCAGAAATGCTTTAGTAGTCTCTTCTCAGCTTCCTCATGTTATATTTTCACACTTACTAGATAATATCAATAAATAAGCCAGTCTTTTTCCCAATCCCAAACAACTAAAAAATGCTCCAAAACAGAGATAATACGTATTTTGCTCTAAGTGACACATAAAAAGTGAATTCAAGCCAGCTGCATGTATCTGTGTGTGCATCTCTGTGCAGGATGTGGGACAGTCTGCATCAGCAACTGCAGTGCAGCTGCAGCCTCAGGAGCTCATACGTCCAGATGCCACCAGCTCGTGAGACTGGGACCCAGGGCACACATCCTCTGTACGCTGACCATCTATGCACCATTGCTGGAGGAGTCCATACTGTACCTACTGGGAGTGCAGGTACAGCCTTGCCACTTGCTGGACCTGGGGTCAGGAAGCTGTGGCAGCCTTGCCCCTCTCAGGCAGAAAAATCCAGCCCAATTCCTGAAACAAGAACCCACTAAAAGTAAGTGTTTACCTGAGAACAATCAGCCTTGGCTATTTCTGTAGTAGTCTGGAGTACATCACGAAGACTGTCTCCATTTTCTTGGATCAGTAGATAAGCCAACAAAAGAAAAACATGAGCAGGGACTTGAGTGCAAAAAGGTATCAGTGATTTCACTGAAGATAACCATTTAGTAACCGCAGACTTCTCTTTCATGAGCTCTATGATCTTCCAGGTTGTGTACAATGAACTGTAAGAGTTGGTTATGGGGAAAAGGAGTTTGCAGGATACCTGAGGACAAGAGATAAAACCAGAAGTTTCAGCTGAACAAATTAGGTACCATGAAAGAACAAAGGAAAAACATAACATCCAAGTTCTGTCAGCCAAAACTTTTTTTTATGGTCCCAATGCAATAAATGTAAATAATAAACTGCAATACACTTCTTTGAAATCCTTTATGTGAATTCTTGCACTGTAGAAGTTTGAATAGGTTGAAATTCCCTACTCAGGAGTTCCCACTTTATCTGACACCCTTCATTCCTGTTCCTGCTGGTAACTGCAGCGCTACTTCCCCTCTAAAATAGACATACTAAAACTGGAGTACCTTAAAAGCTTATTTTCCTGGCAATGACAGGAAAATCACAGATGTTAACTATCATCTACATTAGTTTTAGAAAACCGTCTTAACTTTTGACAGTACTTAATAGCACAGTTTAAGTTAATCTGACATTATGTTTTTTGTTTAAACTGTTTCACTTCTCAGAACAAAGAGTTCTACATTTGCAGTCCTGGAAGATAACATCCAGCAGCAGGAAAGTAGTAAAACACAAATGAGGAATCCTCTTAAGTCAGATTTTTACATATGTGAAAGTATATGAATTTGAAAGCTCCTGCAAACTAAAGTTCAAAGTCTTTCACTAAAAATAAAGTTTAATCCAAGACAAGCCATCTCATTCCCATTAATTCTTTGTTCCCTTACGTTTGCCTTTTCAGATTTGTGGAAATAGAAGATGAAGTTGGAGAGGGATTCCAGAACAAGGAGACATGGCAGAACTCAGAACTGGCATCTGTTTCTGTGTCTGATTTGTCACATCACCATCCTCCCCACACAGAATAACAGTGGTGTAAAGCAAAAAGGGAGCTTAGCTTCCCCAGTGCTAAGCACATCTTGATCAAATAGACTTGCTGTCATCTCTTCTTGGGACAGATGGGACAAATGGGTGGATGGCAGAGAAGTGGAACGTAAGTAAGTAACTAAAACAAAAAAAAACCCCAAAACACAGATAAATAAGACTCAGGTAAATGAGCTAAAACTTGCCAAGGGACACTTCAGTGCTCTATAACTGTCTTCAGACAAAGAAGAATGGTAGCTTACAGTCACATACAAGAGTCAGGAAAAGGACAGAGAAAAGGAAAATAACCAAGTGAGATGACACAAAGTTGGGGGGGAGTG